CACGATGCTAGCGAGGCCTCGAATAACGCGCGTCGTCGTCGTCGCCGCCGCCGCAGCTGTCGTCGTCGTCGTCGTGGTTATCGTCGTCGTCGTCGTCGTTCTCGTCGTCGTCGTCGTCGTCGTCGATGGCGTCGTCGTCGTTGTTGTCGTCGTCGTCGAACGTCGTCGTCGTCAGTCGTGGTCGTGGTCGTCGTTGTTGTCGTCGTCGTCGTCGCTGTTGTCGTCGTCGTCGTCGGCGTCGTCGGTTGTCGTCCGTCGTCGTCGTCGTCGTCGTCGTCGTCGTCGTCGTCGTCGTCGTCGTCGTCGTCGTCGTCGTCGTCTTCGTCGTCGTCGTGGTCGTCCGGGGAGCCCCCATACCGCGAGGCACCGCGAACACGATCTTCGCGGCGGGCCTTTTCTGGCCACCCCAGCCCTCCGGGAGCCCCTCGCGGCCTGGGAGCCCCTCTCGCGGCCATGCCTGCTGGGGCGCACGCCGCAGGGACGGACCAGGGTGGTGGCGTCCAGGAGAGGGGTCCAAGGGACCGCCCAGATGGGAAGGAGGAGGAGGAGGAGGAGGAGGAGGAGGAGGAGGAGGAGGAGGAGGAGGAGGAGGGGAGGAGGAGAGGGAGGAGGAGGACAGAGGAGGATTCGGAGGAGGAGGAGGAGGCGGAGGAGAGGACTTTTGCACCGCCTCCAGCAGGCTCGATGCTGGGCGCTCCCACCTACCCACCCCCTTCTTCTACCTTCGAGGCCTCATATACCTCAGGACTTTTGCACCGCCTCCAGCAGGCTCGATGCCGCGCGCTCCCACCTACCCACCCCCTTCTTCTACCTTCGAGGCCTCATATACCTCCTTCCTCCTTCCTTGCGAACAAAGAGTCGACCACTTGCAAGGCCTAGGGGCGAACGCTCGCCTCCTCTTGCCCCTCTCTCTCTCTTTCCCCCCCTTTTTTGGCTTCCCTTCCTCCCCGTCCTCTCTCCTTTTCATTGCCTCTGAGCGTTCGCCTTCTGGAATTACAGGTAAGGCCCTTACCACCCTGGCTGTTCTGTTCAGGCGCCCCACTTCTCCACTCCTAGCTTGGTCATTATGATACCTCGTTTGAAACATTTCGCTTCTCACTTTTTCCCTAATGCGCCCCCACCTCCCCGCAGGGCTTAGCCGCGGGAAGGTGGCAGGACAGGTTTGCATGGCAACAGGATCACCCTCGACCGCCATGAGCAGCAGCAGCAGGATGATGATGACGAGGAGGAGGAAGGGGGAAGAGGAGGAGGAGAAGGACGAGGAGGAGGAGGAGGAGAAGGAAGGCGGACGCGGAGGCGGAGGAGGAGGAGGAGGCGGAGGAGGAGGACGAGGAGGAGGAGGAAGAGGAGGAAGAGGAGGAGGAGGCGGAGGAGGAGGACGAGGAGGAGAAGGAGGAGGAGGAGGACGACGAGGCCAGCTCATACCTCCAGGAGGCCCCGGGGAACTCCGAGAGAAGGCTCCCGCAGGCTCCAGGCCGCCCCGAAGACGCTCCGGAAGGGGAGGAGAAGAGGAGGAGGAGGAGGAGGAGAAGAGGAAGAGGAGGGAGGAGGAGGAGGAAAAAGAGGAAGAAAGGAGGAGGAGGAGGAGGAGGAGGAGGAGGAGGGAGGAGAGGAGGAGGAGCTGACAGGGAGGAGGATGAAGAGGAAAGAGGGAGAAGGAGGATCGAGGAGGAGGCGCTGAGAGGGAGGAGGAGGAGGAGAGGAGGAGGAGGAGAGGAGGAAGGAGGAGGAGGAGGAGGAGGAGGAGGAGGAGGAGAGAGGGGAGGGGAGGAACAGGAGGAGGGGGAGGAGGAGGAGGAGGAGGAGGAGGAGGAGGAGGAGGAGGAAGAGGTGAGAAATGAATGAGAAAAGACATGGACATCGCGGACTCTTTTCCGCTGCGCAATCATATGACCCAAACCTGCTACGGAACGAAACGCCAATGCGAGTCGAAACGACTGGCCAACATAGGCCGGCATACAATCATTAGGCCTCAGGAGCGCAGAAATCACAGCCCCCAAGAAGGTCTTTGGCCACAAAGTGCGCAGATTCGCTATCATGCGAAATAGCAGTCACACCAAACATCTATGAAAGTCGCCAGCGTGCGAGGCAAAAGAAACTAGAAGCAAGGCTGGTATGGAGATTCGCCAATGTGCGAAGTAAGGCATATAAAACCAAGCTGATGTGAAGTGGCAGCAGCTATCTACACCGAAAATTTCGTCGGAGTAACAGCACACACACCCTTTCGAGTGTTTGTTGAGCTGCTCTCGCTTGTGCGGTCGCGGCACGAATTCTCGCTTAGCCTTCTCGGCAACTCGCTTCTGCAATTCAGCCTGTTCACCACATGTATGGTACCGCCCTGTGCGCATCAATCTGTTGTAAACTGCAGTGTTGGACGATGTCTTTGTAAACGCATCTGCCGGCATACAATGGTGCTGAACCCATCTGGCCCTGCAACCAAGAGCACGCATAGACTGCCTGCAAACACACAGCTCAAGCGCAACCCTACGATCATTGCCTCCTGTCGTCTCCTTGACAAGATTGTCGAAAAGCAACTTGGCGTCAATAACACTAACAATACTCGGATCCACGGAAATCGTACCGTCACACTTGAGCGCTGCAACTGCTGCATCCTCACGTTCTGGAATCGAAGTCCTTTGCTTCGAAACTGCATCAAAATCACTCCACATCGTGCCCTGCCATAGAGACCATGCCCATTCTGCTGCGGCCAGCGCGTCGCTGAAACTGAGACTCTCCGCCGCCATGGTGCTGCCCATGACGCGCTTGATCTGGTGACTCACCCAGCTGATGATGCTGAACGGTGCCTCCTCATTATCATTGAGCGCCGCCGTAGTAATGCCCACTAGGAATCCGCCCTGCGAAGCTCCCACCTCCTTGTCCGCGTCGAAACTGCCGTCCCTGACACTGGCGACTCTGGCCTCGTCCGGCGGGACTGGTACGAAACGTCGACCAAGAGCTGCACCTGCCTTGAGACGTCGACCTGCAGAGTTGGCGTCGGAAGTATCCTTCATCACGGCACTACAACATGTACTCTGTAGCAGTGAAGCAGTTGAAGCCTCGTCCGGCCCCGCCTGTCTGGCAATCCAACCAATACCACCAAAGACCGCTCGCAGTTGACCTTTCTCGCCCTCGCTTGAGCTCGATCGGATTGAGTTTCTCGTTGACATAGCGCTCCATGTCGACGCGAAAACCGAAATCCTTCTCTTGAGAAAAAAGCTTCCCGGCGAACGAATGTGGTCCATCTCGGTATAGTCTGTGCCAGTGACTAAACTTGATCATGCCCTTAAGCTGGCTCATGCTGTCGATGTGTTTCTCGTTGCCTCCAGATAATGTGTCGTCAACCTACTATGCCCTGCACGATGTAGTCGTCGCTGTCTTTGTGCTGGTTGTCGTTGAATAGACAGAATAAACACGGGTCGTAAATGCCCGTGCGAAAGCCGAGCCTGCTAAGCCGGTCGACCATCGTACTGCGCCAGGCGGCCACGCCACTGACAAGTCCATAAACTTGTCGATCCAAACGGATGAGACTTCCCGGCGGTACTCCAGGTGACTCCAGATATCCACCAGGTGGTGGCTCGGCGTAGAGTGGCTTGGTCCTCTTGCTCGGATCTCCATGCATGAATGCGGCAGTGACGTCGCCGACATTGGCCTCTAACTTCCTCGATGATATCGCCAGCGCGGCGATGTGAAGCGTAACCGATTGTGGTGTTGGACAACTTTGCTCGATCTCCATGATATTGTGATCCTTGAAACCATGTGCCACCCATCTTGCCGTGGCTGCCACGCCCTTCTTGGCCGGCTTCCTTCGGAAGAATATCCTGCTGGTCATGATCCGCTCGCCTTTGTCCTTCCAGATCTTCTCTGCCTTGGCTGGCGCGATGATGGTGGCGGCCATGATGCCAACAAATACATTCCACTCCTTCGCAATGGCTGCAGTAAACTGTATCCAGTCGTCATCGCTGATCGCGTTGTGCTTGGGCTCTGCCGCCTCGGACATGGCCTCCATGATGTAAAAGTTACCTCGGTCACTCAGACAAGCCCACGAATCCTCAATGCTGAACGCTATGTGCTTGTCACTGTTGAAGCCAGTAACTGGTCTCCGCCGCCCACTATCCATATCCAACGTCGGTTGTTCCACACTTCGTCCATCGCGATGAAATCGCTCTTCTCCGCGGCATTGTAATTCGTGTAGGTGCCTCTCGTGGAGTCGCAGACCTCTATGAACCGTTCGTCGGGGTCCGACTGCTGCCAAAAGACGATCGGCTCTGTGAACCCAGACGGTGCTGGCCATGCTGCTCTCGTACCCGCAGCGGTACGTCCTGAACTTGACGATGATAATCTTTGCCGGTCCAGCTCCATGTCGTCGTGCCTCGGCCTCCTCCTTGGCGGTGCACCTGTAGCTTCATCTTCTGCCTTGACGACGGTTCCACGACGAGAATCTCCATCACTCGACGCCGGTAAACGAGGTTCGCTTTCTGATTGTGCGCTACTCTGTCGCGAAGCTCTTCCTTCTTCTTCCGTGTCATCTGGTGGTGGAGCTTGCTGCGATGGACCCCCGTCGACGACCTCGTCCTCCTTCGGCGGCTCGCCTTCGCCACTGATCCCTGAAGTCCCGCTGCTGGCGTACTGCATTGAGCTTCTCCTTGGGTCCGACTAGCAACTCGTCGACGATCTCGACTCCCGAACTCCCCTCGTTAGTCGTGGCTCTGACCTGAATCCTCGCGCACTTGAAGAGAACTCCACGCATGTATGCAAAAACACTAGGGCCAGCTTAAGTCGTGGATCTGACCGTGGCTGGTCCACTCCAACCCACTTTGTCGTCGATGCTTCTGTCAGGTTGTCGGAACTGAAACTCGCCTCCAGATGAAAACTTCCTCGCCATCCTTGAGTGCCTCCTGCTCCTTCCGCATCCTGCTCTTGAGTGACCTCTGCAGCGTCTGCTGATCACTGAGGCTGACGGCTGACGACATTGCAACTTGTCTCATACCCTGAGCTCGCTGGTACTCAACTGACGGCGCGGTGATGAGCATCTCCGGGCTAATGACGTCAACGCCGAGGAAACACCCTGGCAATCGCAAGTCTTCGCCAAACGCTCGCTGAGCTGGGCAGCAACCACTCCAGTTCGTGAACCTATTCTTCGCCTGCATGACAAAATTGGTCAGCATATCCACCTCTGACATGTTGTTACACGGCTCGATGGAGTCGGACTTCTGAAAGATGCTCTCCCACCGCCCTCCGCGGCGCTAGGTCTTACCATTTTCCCATGGAGACCTCGCGTTGATGACGTGCGCGAGCTCTGTCCTGGAACTCGGCCATGAACTCCGTACCCTAGTCCACGACAAGAACATGTGGCGGCCCATAACGACGATGCCATGTCCGCTGAACTGCTTCCCAGGTAGCCTGAGCTGTAGTCGGCCTCATAATCTGGCAAGTGATGCCCCAGCATATTGCCTGTACAAAATGGAACTCCAAACCAAATACCTTGTTGACTGCAGCCGTACTGCAACCGGCAACATAATTAAACCGAAACGACCGCAAAGCCGCTGCCGGCTGTCGTGCCTTAAGATGTTTATTGGTTTCGCAAGCTGGGCAAACGAAGTGACGCCGCACCCATCGCAACATTGAGATGCGAACCCATCCATGCCGAAAAAAAACCCGTAAGACATCACGAAATTCCGGATGCCCCATATCATTGCGAGCTCGCAAAAGTAACCGCTGTTGGAGAGGCGATGGGACCTCCATGGTTTCGGTGCCCGGCGCATCTTCAACTCCGTCTTGTTGTAGGCTAGGTTTTCCGAAATCGGGTCCAAGGCCGTCGCCTTCCGCCGCGCCCTCGATCTCCTCATCGATCGTCTCGAGCGCGGGGCGCGCTCCGATAATCATCTGGTCCTCGGCGGTCTGTAGATTGCATGAAACCGTCGACCGCGTGCGGCGCGTAGTCCTCGGCTAACTTTGCGACGGTGTTCGAGTGCTGGAACAAACACGGCTGGTTATTGGCTTCGTTGGTGTTGAAATCGGTGTGCTTGATGGTGTTGGTCTTCTGGAGGTGCTTAACTAGGCCCCTGAGGATCGCGTTGCACGACTGTGGCGTGTACTCCTTCGCGAGCCTGGTGTACTTGCAGCCGGCGAGCTGGTCGCGGTCGGAACTGCTGCGCGTGCAACGTCTGCAAACGGCCTTCAGGACCTCGATGCTGCTGCTGAGGATGCCGGTCGGCTTGCGGTTGAGCTTGCCCCCGTCGACGTGTAAGTTGAACTCGCACATGTCGGCGTTGACCCGGCCGATCCCGTCGGTGTCGGCGAGGTCCTGGAAGCGCGGCGCGCCCCGCGATCGGGCGTGGGCTGGTTGTTCGACTAGAAATAGTCCTCCTCGTTCGCGATGTCCTCGAGCGAGCGCCGCGCAGAACTCTTGATGTTGAAGACCTTCACGTTCTTCATTGCTAACGACGTCCTGGTCGCGCTTGTAGTCTGACAGGTCCCCGATGCGGCTCCGCACCTTGCGCGGCGGGCTGAGGATGATGAGCAGCGGCTCCTCCTTCTCGATGATCTCTCGTGCCCTCCTGCGGTCTGTTTCCGGCGTGAAGTCGAATCTGGTGGTCAGGTCCATATCGCTTCCAGGTTGAAACCCATGTCGGATGCAATGTTGCGTGACACGAGGTCGGCTGTAGATCTCCGTGGCGTCAGCGCCCTTCCTGGGTAGCTTCCCCAGGCTCCGTCGCAATTCTCGCCGAAGTCCTTTGGAAATGACTGCCTGCTCGTCGTCAAACAAGACACTCGTGATAGTCCCACTTCGCACCTTGAAGATATCGACGCGGTCAGTCGCGTCGTCCTCGCGGTCCGCTGTGATGTAGTCGACCCGATCCGTGAACCTGTTCATGCACCCACTGCCGATCTGGTCGCCAAAGAGGTCGCCATTCGAAGCTGCTCACATTGACTGGCGCCACGATGATCACGATGTCGATCTCGTTGCTGTCGTCTAAGCGTCCGAACTAGATCGGCCCTCCAGTCACATGTCCTCGTCGCTCGACGAAATGGCGATCACGTTCGCCTTCTCGAATCCCTCCGGCGTGATCTCCTTTGTCTCCTCGCATGCCCGAGCCGTGCACAGGTGCGAGTACTTCGTCTCGTAGCGTTCGTGCGCCCTCTCCATGGGTGCCCCATGGACTGGGCATGCTGGAACCTTCACCTTCACTGGGAACTCCATCTTCACCGCCCTCGAAACGGGCTCGGCCTCGACCGTCTCGCGGCATTGATGGGGCTCGTTCCCCTCGGGCCCCGCACTTCATGCACACCTCGTAGTAACCCTTGTGGTTGCCCTCCGGAAGCGAGAACTCCTCGGGGTGGTCGCACTCCTCCGGCGTGCAGCTCGGTTTGATACCCTTGCGCTTGGTGTCGGGGCGGCGCCTGCCCTTCGTGGAGGACGCGGGGAATCTTGTCGGTGGATGACCCATTCCCCTTCCGATGCACAGCGAAAGGTTTGACCTGCTCCTGGGTGCCAGCGAT